TCACTGGAACGTGAACTTCCCACCTCTGATTCTGCATCAAATTAACTTGGTACTTGCCACCTTTCTTTACTTGGCATAAGTAAATGAACAGTTTGAGCTAGCAATAAAAATGACGTGATGAATATTTAATTTTTCATGTCTTGACCTTTTCTCTACTGTTCTTATTTTTTATAGTTAATTTTTGCATATTTTGTTTTTAATATCTTATTTAGGTTATTGAATGGATTTTTCTCTGAATTACAGACATCCGGAAATCTTCATTCTCACTAAGGTAAAATAGAAGGGTTGTGTGTGTGCAACAGACGGGTTTACTATTCAGTGTACATCTCAGATTTATTCTTTCATACGACTCGGTTTATTCGCAGCTGATTGTATCCGTGGAAGTGTGCCAACAGCAGACTAACTACCTTCCAACGACTAAACCAGTTAAAGGCCAAAGTTTTTTGCTGCAAAGGCATATATCCTTAAACTGAAGTGGTTTTTAGTTCTGTTCGTATTTCTTGCATGAGGCCTTTTGCTCTGCGATGACTCCCAATAGTTCAGTGGCACAGAATCCGAACGAAAAGGGGCCTCGAAACGTGAATATTTCCGCAGACGTCGAGAAACATGTGACTTTCGGTGTAACGAAAGTGTTTTATTTCAAACGGTGCCAGGGAACGGCTTCTGTGCCGGACGATGGCGGCATCAGTCTAGGCATGGAACCGGAGCCTTTCCTGTTGCGAACTTTTCCAATATCAGGAGGTAAGCCGTGTTCGTCTGAAATCGCCACCGCTGCAGTCACCAAGACAACTGCTGCGGAGCCACCACACATCAAAGAATTGCCCCCAAAACAAAGACGCAAGCTGCTAACCGCCTGTGATGTGCGGATCCGTATGGACGAGGCGAAGGAAAATCGAGCCATTATGATGTCTAGGAAAAAGTGCGGCTGTCGATGCTTCCGCCATTGCAACCCGAGGAAATGTAGATGCGCCCTTGAAGAGATCAGCTGCTACGTGAATCATGGCAAATATCCTTGTGCATGCAGCAAGCAGAATTGCAGTAATCCGTTCGGGCGACGAGCCTTCGATGAGGACGCGGTCAGTGCACACTACAAAAGTGTTTTCTGTTAGTTGTGGTCGGCCGGTAGCTACGGTTCTTTTGTTACGGGCAGGAGTCCGACGAATGACTGAAAATTTGATATTAATCGGCATTTGCGACAACGCTGTGAAACAGTGATCAACGGAAAGTTTTGGCTTCTGCACATGTGCTGACAAACATTGTCTAGAAGTTAGCCGTTCGCATTTTTCCGAAAATCACCAAACAAAATTTTCCTATTTTTTGATGTTCAGGATTTTCTGCTTAAAATTATTTACCTCTGACAAGATAAGAAACCTTAAAACTTCGTTGTTACGAACTCAATCTTCTGAAGGCGCATTTCCAAGCATAGCTGACTCGATCGCTGCAGCTCTGGACAGATACTTTCATTGTACATTTTAAACGTCAGAAAGTACATAAACTTTTGTCTTACATGATACAGAATTTATATTGTCATTGAAGTTGTCGTATACATTGAAATGCGATGCAATTGTTTTCACACTGTTAGATGAGTTTAACATGTGTACTCTTTTTGAAATGGAATTGTTAGGAAAGTTTCGAAAATTAATTTGTAATTTGTAATTAAATAAAGCATCAGCTTGTCATAGCAGCAGATTATCATCATCAGCTTTTGTCGATCCACTGCTAGATGTACTCTTCTTCATGAATTTGCCATAAACTTGTCTTGTACGATTCTAATTCATCTTGATCCAGCGAATTTCTTGAGCTCTTCCTGCCATTGAACTGGAAGTTTTCTTACTGGCCCATTACTTTCGAGTGGAACCAACTCTAAAACCAAGGTTTTCTTGGTTCAACGATAGTCATTTTTTCTGGCTACGTGTCCTTCTCATTGGTGCTTTAGTTTCTTCACTATGGCAATGACATCGCTGATTCTTGCATCCTTTTACCGACTAATTGGTCGTACCTTTCATTGTTATTCTCAACAGATCTATTCTGCATTTTGCAGTCTGTAGTTTATGAATAGTTTTCAGGGTTAGAGTCAAAATTTTGCATCCATTAGTTAGTACATGGAGCACAAACCGAAGTAATACTTTACGTTTCGAGCATAAGTTCTGTATCTCCGGAAAGAACTTTTTCCGTCCACGTCTATTTCTGCTGTGCTCCACTACTGTTTTCTGTTCTTCTGTTGATTTTTAATAGTCGGTTTTCAGTTGCAGAAATGAACAATCCAAGATGGACATATTTTGCGCTTCCTTATGTTTAAGTCCGTTCATTTCATCTGGCCACTTAGTTACGTATTGTTTGTTTGATATGATCTGCATCTGAATCTTATTCAGTTTCATTTTCAATCCAACTTTTAATCTTCGCGTCGTTAAGTTTTTGGATCCTTCTTTTAGTTCTTTTGGCATTCTTGGGAGATTCGGAATATCGTATGTTACCCGCCAGTGGTTTAAGCAGTCCTAATATTCAGCTCTTGACGTTCGCAAGAGAGTGACTTGAAAACGTCTTTTGAGCTGGTTTGAATAACTGGTTATCAGCTTTATGTTACCGACGGTGATGAACGGCATTTCTAGCTGAAAGAAATGGATTTATAATGCAAAGTTTTGCGAACGTTGCTATCGCGTATTGGAAGATCAGTAAGGAGATATCTTTACGATGCATCGCAACAAGTAGTTTTAATTCCAGCGTTCTACGACTCTTCTACACCGGTAATAATATCAGATAGGTAATCCATAATTGCATCTTATCAGAACACAAACGGCCGTCACTGTATTGATCCTTATAGCAGTTTTAGTCATTTATTCTAAATAATTATCAATTTAGACAATTCTGATATGGTAAGGTAGTGGTAACTAATGTCTTAAAAACCAGCTTGAATTATTCATTTGCCAGGATTTACTGCTAGGTCAATGAAGATGCGTTACGACCCTTTATACCTGAGATAACTACCACTAAAGTTGTTCACAAATGATCGGTTCGTTACTAGTTTCTCGTTTGAATTAACTTTTCGATCACAAAGTTGGCAGTAGATAAGAAAATATGCTTAGATTCGCTCCCCACATCTTACATTTGGTACGGAATAAATTCTCTACCCTCTCCTAGTGCCTTTTTCTGTTTCTGACGTCATCAATAATAAAACTGTTGTTCCACAAATTGTGGTCCATACCTCTGATGTTTTTTTTTCACCACTCTCTGAAATAATACTTTATTTGTATCCCGGCGACAACACTTTGGCTCCGGATTCCACTCTCTTCTGAAGACAAATTAAATCTGGCCACACGACATGAACGGACTGATCGATTTCGTATATTATATTCTTTGCAAAATATTCGAGTGGTTTTTCCTATATATGTGAATTTTGTTTCGTCTGATTTTTCCGCATTCAATTCTTGGAAGCGCAATAAATTTTTTTCTACTTGCGAATTATTTTGAAATTTTAACTACTGTTGGAATTATTTATTTGTTTTTATTTTTATTGTTTTTAGCCTCCTATACTGCGTTTGTATATGTACATTTGCTTATAGCAATTCAAATAGGAAACGAGCAAGCGCGCCGGCCTTTCGACTATTCGTGCGCCATGACTGACGATCTAACTTCTGAATTTGAGTACGACAGCGAAGTCGACAAGCAAAAGTAAACTCGTGCTTCAGTAATGATTTAAGTAAATTTCTTTTGGCATCGAAATCTTTGCTGTAAAATTTTCACAAAGTTGCATAGCTTTTTATGTGTTAATTATTACTTGCTATTGTCTTCGAATTATTAATATCCGCTCAGCTGATGTAAGTAAGTAAATTTGAATTTCAGTAACGCTATAAAGATATAATCTAAAGTACTATCTGCAAGGAACATATGGCGGAAGCTAAAATATTATGAAACTCATGGTTAGGAAGAAAATAATTGACAGTAAGACCGTAAACGATAATACGCCCGAAAATAGAGGTATATATTCGACCTAAATTTGTGTAAAACAAATTTCCAATTTTCAAGCAGTCAGTCAGTTATCTCGTCAGTTTCAATGACCGCATATCCTTACTGGTCGCCAAGGTACATGTCAGACAGTATTTCCAATGTTCCTGATTCCCTGCCGCTGTTTGAACTTCAACTGAAGAAAACCTGAGTCGGAAGTCGAGCTCTTCCGTACATTTACCCCACTTACTGTTCCTGATTGTCCTCATGATCTTCGGCCGGTCATTATAGCAGCTTGTAGTAGTTTTTTCCTCCTTTTCGCGGCATTCCAAAGACGTATCCAAGCCATTGCAGCTATGCCACTTTACCAATTCTTTTCAGAAAGCCCATTTCAGACGTTTCTATCCGCGATCGAGGTTTTTTCGTCATGACCACAAGTGAGCCTGGAAATGAAGTTCAACTTGAACGCAGAGAGTTTAGTCTTCAGACTCAGCTCTACTTTTCTGACTAGTTCACGCAGAGCATTTCTGGCTACTCCAACCCGCTGACTCTCTTCCTCCATTTTCTTACAACTGTAAACAAGTCTCCATGGTACATGAATTTGTACTCCAGCTCCACGGTTTCTCCTTTTATCTGAAGTCTGTAACAGGCACGAGAGAGAGAGAGAGAGAGAGTAAGCGTTAGGTCTTTCGTTTTAGACACTTTCACACCTATGCCTCTATTTTTAAAATAAAAATAAAATACAACCCTGATATTCCGAGGAATGTCAGCTTTTCGATTTTTCCATCGATGAATGTCGTCTTTTG